TTTTGATGAAACGTGGTTCATAGATGCTCTTGAATAGTGGGAAGACCAGATTAGTTTTTGGTTGACATCTGTGTATATTATTGACCTAATTTGCATATTAATTTGCCAATATTTAACTTTTCCTCCAATATCTCAACCAGTGATCTGATTCAATGAAACTTGGTACATACACATGTAGATTGCTGAGAAATAAGCCATATACATGTTTAGTTTAAGGTTAAAGTTTGTGCATACTAATTACCTAATTTGCAGGTGCTCCACAGATTTCTTGAGTACTACTCGACAAATTGTATTGAAACTAGATACATACATGTAGGTGCTTTTAGATTCATGGTTAAAATCCATGCATATTTATTGCTTCCCTTTTGTAACAGGGGCTCACTATGTAAATTAGGAGCTGCACCAAATAAATAATAGATTTCACTCAAAGAATAATGAAAAAAACCTTGTATAAATCAGGTCATATTGCCTCATTAATATGCATAAAAGTAATCTCAAGCACTGTAGCAGACAAAGAAATGCATCTGGAGGCACCTGACGAGATAGGACCAAATGTAATATACATGTAGGGACTTGTAATCAGTGCTACAATGCTTGCAGCAAGGTTTTCATATACTGTATTTGCTGTTAGAAGCACATGTGCTTACTGTAAATATAAATGACAAAGATAAGTCTATGGTCAAAATAAGGGTACGTATTTCAATGATTTTGCATGCCACAATACAGTATTCCTTGTTTGTACTTCATGTCCCTTATACTTTCAGCACACAGGAGTTCTATCTACGCTTTCTTTGATTTAATTATTGTCATCACAATTAAGTTTGTAGAGTCCACATTTTCCTACCCTGTATTTTATCATAGACCAATATGTTTTATATGGAGAAACACAAACCAATTATACACTAAGAGAAATATTTACAGAATTCCCGCATCACGCTCGTGCTGTAGCAAGTTTCAGAGGATATTTTTGGGGATTAAGTCAGCACTTTGGTTTCTCAATACACATGTTCACTGGCTTGTGTAATCTACCAGTATATATTAATGGTCAACCACTCGCCAGAGAGTAGTATGTAGCAACAAAGTGACTAAACAACCATAAGTTTGATGTCAATAAAAAATGTTCGCAAGATGATTGTATAAGTTACAAAGATGAGAGTTTATTTAAATACATTTACAATCAGCTTTGGGGTAAATACAAGAAAAATCTCAAAAACCATAAGTTTTTCCCCAATATATTTACTACAAAAAGTTACAATTTCCCAGAAAGTTACAAAACCACCCAAAATTATTAAACTATGTACATTAAAAATTGAGAAAATAGTAGTTGTGTCATACATAAAAACCTCAGCCAATCACCACTTCTTATTATTGATCGATGCAAACTATTTCCTCAAATGATATCATACAAATAGATTTCCAAATATAGTACATTTGTATGATATGCAAAACATGTCCAAATATGGAGCATTCAAATGACATGCAAATTATATGCCCAAATACGGTACAATCAAATAACATGCAACTGTTTCAAATGTATCAATTAACATAATTACCTTAGTAATAAATATACAAGGAAATTATAACTAAAAGACCAAAATATTGTATTTTTTCACACTTTAAAATATTCCTTGATACATTTTTCAGAATCTCAAAACAAAATTTGAGTTACAGATAATGAAATACGGATTTATTCCACATATTTTATATTTTCTTAAACCACTGATTGCTGAAGTGATTCGCTGAGCAATGCAAAGGCTTCTCTAAACACTAATACAAAACATTGCTAACTTCATTCATGGAAATACACGGAGTAAGCTGTACGGTTTGTAACAAGCAAAGCATGGCAGCTAATTTGCATAATAATGTATAACTTAATATAAATATTTCACACATCTTTTGTTTCCTGAGTATTTCAGTGTCCAAGCATGGTAATATAAACTTTCAATCCTTGGTAGTATGAAAATTGGATGATTTTAGAATATTTAATACAAATGCATTAAAATTATTACATTATTAACAAATGCATTTCCTGCTTTAAACTTCAAGTACTAGAATAGCCATGATGAATGGGATAAAATTATATTGACTGTTATGTGTTATTAAATAATGCAAACATCAGCAACAGTTAGTATTTTTACATGATATAATGAAGGACCAATATAGCATCTTTACCTACTTTAGGTGGGCGACACAAAAAGTTGGTGGGTCACCCCCACCCAAACAAAAATCATCACAGTGACTTGTAGATAAATTTACAGAGAAAATGTCATTGAAATCTAAAAGAAACACTTTAAATGTGATTTATTTTATATTGCATTGCTGGATTTCAGTACGACGGACTCATCACCATTTTATAAAATTTATATTTGTTGCATCAGCAGAAAATATTAACAAGCATGCTTAGATGGACAATTATTGTCAACAAAAATAATACTGTATGAACCAATGGGATGGATGAAAGTGATGTCGTAGTATGACATCAGTTCCTGTCTAAGTACAATTTCCATATTTTCTATTTAGAAAAGAGAAATGTTGAAAAAATGATGATTAATAATCACTCACCAATGTTTTATAATGGAATGCATTCTTTTACAATATGATACAAATGCAAATTATTGAAGATATGAAGAAACTGGATGATGCAACATTAATTTTAACTTTAAAATACAATATTTGCTTCGCATGTGACATTTGAGTAAAAATTTGGATCAAAATGTGTCAGCAATGTAAAATTACACATGACCCATCACTGATGGACTGCCAACAGTAAAATACAGAAAATTTAAAAAATTTTAGGCGGCAAAATATTGACTTTGAAAGGATACACAAGACAATGTGACTAAGTACACATGATGTAAAAGAACAAAACCAATAAATATTTTTAAAGTAATTTGATAGTGATAATTCAGGACATCTGAGGTAATGGCCAGGTTTGTTGAAATAGTATGACATGAATGGCTACAATGTAATGTTCTAGTTCCACCATTTGGGGAGTGGTTAAACTACATGTCACAGATAAGTGACAACCTGTCTTAACAAGTAATGTGCTGACCCCACCATATAAGGGCATTTGGGGAGTGGTTAAACTGCATGTCACAGATAAGTGACAACCTGTCTTGACAAGTAATGTGCTGACCCCACCATATAAGGGCATTTGGGAGTGGTTAAACGGCATGTCACAGATAAGAACTGCCTAAACCTGTAACACAACATGCTGCGAGACTATAAAAAGTATATAAATAGACCTTTTTCGGATTAATTTTTAGTTGTTCAAGCAAACTAACAAAATATAATTTCACATTCTTGTCATTGAATGAGTGTCAGTCAGTCTTCTAGCCTCTTTATCATTAGCAGCCTCGTAAAAATCTGTTACTTTTAAAACTGTTTACAGGTGTGACCCCTGTGATATCAGTTTGATATAACCCAAATAGCTGGAGATTACAGCTGTGGGTCAAACCATTATATATCAGAGGGGCAACATTGAGGAGTAAAAACATGCATGCAATCTACTGTGCTGTCAATTATCCAAGAATACCTCAAGAATAAATAACACCACAAAATCAGATCACATGTTGTAAAACAGAGAGGAAAAGGGAAGTGCAGCGAAGAATTGCTATATGCCACTCTACAATAATATTCTTATAATTTGCATTTCTTGTCAGTAATCTTGCAGACTACCATTTTGACAGGAAGTGATGTCACACCATGACATCACTTCCTCTTAAGATGGCACCCACCATAAATATAATTCTAGTTAGTTCATGCCCAAAAAGAAATGTTAGTATGTTATAAATATGAATGCAAGGAGAAATAAGAATTTTAGTGTTGAGTTAACAAAGAATGCACAACCACTGAAGCAAAGCAAGCAAGATGCGTCTCGACTGTAAGCGGCAGTAGAAGTGCAAACTCTAGATTCCTATCTGTACCTCCACTTCGCCTTCTGTTCCTCGATGTCATTCACTAGGTTTTGTGCAAAACAAATACCACAAATCTGAAAAGAATAGAGACAAAAATTATTTAGGACATTTCTATTTTGAATAAATTAATTTTCTATAATGCTTTGAGAGGTCACAAGGTTGCATGGAACACTATAGATTTCTTTTAGTTTATCTGGTTGTACATTTAATTGCTATAAATAAGTGACTTAACAAAAACACTTTCACTACAACTTTCAATATATTTCTTGCATTGACATAAACATAATAGATGAAAGCATGCATTCAGCTGAGTGTTTTAGGTCAAAGCTTCTTGTGATAATAAAGTACTACCATAGTTATGCACCAGCCATTTGTATACCCATCTACAAGTCCATGATTTTGCTTGGCATAGCACTCAATGCAGCAGGAATGAAATCATGGCTTGGAAGTTGAAACAAGATCCATAGCCAATTATATTAAAATTGTTGCTTGTCCTCCCACCCAGGGAGCCACTTAAACATCCATGTACATATTGTTCAGTCCCTGGGAGGGAACAAAGTTGAGAGAGTGGCAGTGGTGCTTTAATAGGGTAATAGAAGTAAATAATACCTGTAACAGAGCAATCCCTATGACAATGGCACCCACAATCACCAAGTTTGTTTCTATCCATTCCGAAAATGCTGGAACACAACCTTTCGTGAAGATCACATCGGCAGCTGGAAGTGGCTGTAAATGGATAAAATTGCACAAAATAAATAACTCCACTATATCACAGGAATCAATTTCTAGGTTTACATACCTTATCTGTTTTAAGATGGTGAAAACAGATTTGAACAAGAAAAAGTGGAAAGAGAAAAAATATTTATGAAATGTGATTTAAGTTTATGAAATGAAGTAAATAAACAGAGCACTAAAATTACCATTGTATGATTGCTGAAATGCACCGATATGTGTGACTAGAAATGAATGATTGAGGGCGCTGTACACGCACAAATTAATCAGCATGCGAGTTTTTGTTTTTCACAAGTTTCACTACAATTATTACGATAATGTTGTTTTTCACAAGTTTTACTACAATTATTACGATAATGTTGTTTCATTAGGATAACTTGAGAACTGTTCTGTTGCAAATTACAGGCATATTTCTTTTACTGCTATATAGGTGTTTTCCTTAAACATAGTTTGTTTGTTTACAATATTGCTAATATTTGACTTTTATCAATTTTTCAGTCTTTGGCAAATTGTACATGAATTCAGAATAATAACACAACCCGGCTAATCATTTCTCATCTATGATTTGTTATATAATACTGTCTTTAGTGATACAAAGAGTTAACCAGCAGTGAGTCAATGGGAAGCATGGTCCAATCAGTTTTTAGTATATCAGTCAGGTCAGTTTAACCAATCATGAAGTTTGTAATGAAATCAAGTAATCTTCTAATCTTCTCTGCATTCTGATAGGATAGTCTTCTGCATGATTTAAGTCTAATGTATGGCGTCTATGTCCAATTCAGGTGTCACCAATAAAACCCTATAAAGTATAGTCACTTGGAATACAGAATTTAATAACTGCATGCCCACTGCATGCCCACCAAGTGTCTTTAACATGCCTCCCATCAAATGACTAACAATTGCTTCTCACATGACCACCAAGAGTTTCCCACATGATCACCAAGAGTCTCCCACATGACCACCAAGTGCTTCCACATGCCCACCAAGAGTTTCCCACATGACAACCAAGAGTTTTCCACACGCCCACCAAGAGTTTCCCACATGACCACCAAGTGCTTCCCACATGACCACCAAGTGCTTCCCACATGACCAAGCTTTTCCACAAAGTGCTCCTCACACGCCCACTAAGTGCTTCCCACACGCCCACTAAGTGCTTCCCACACGCCCACCAAGTGCTTCCCACATGCCCAAGTGTTCCTCACATGCCCAAGTGCTTCCCACACGCCCACCAAGTGCTTCCCACATGCCCACCAAGTGCTTCCCACACGCCCACCAAGTGCTTCCCACAAAGTGTTCCCCACATGACCACCAAAAATAGATATATATATATATATATACACCCATTCATGCAGTAAGGCACTTCTCCATGCAATAGAGATATCTATAAACAAGAAGGCACATTCCTGATAAATATCCATGACAGTGTTTTACTTTGGATAAATCTCAAAATAATTTGTTTAGGTGTGAACAAATTACAGTGTTTATTAAAACTTTGTACCATATACCAGGGCTGGTAACTTTCAAATTTCACTAGCACTGCCAGAAAGTTACCAACCCTGCAATAATGATTGTTTTCAAATACTTCATTTCAAATTCCAAGTAAGCATACAAAGTCATTTTATTTAGGCAACCTCAACAGTATGAATTATTTCAGTGTTTCTTTGGACATCACTCCCATGTACCGGTATATCTAAAGCAGTCTGATTTATAATTAAAATGTTCCATTTTAAACTGTTGCATTTTTGTTTCAAAGCCTTTGTATCAGTTTTAATTTTTAGCAGACTGACTGGAAAGTTATGCATCTTGGGTGTACTGCAGGCAGTAATTTCAAATACTCATATGTCAGTGTGAGTGGTTTTGACATGAAATGAAATAAAATACAGGAAATGAGTACATGAATTATTCATATCAGATATAGTGCATCTACATTCAGAAGAGATGTGAGAAAAATGCATGGAAATAACAACCTATAGAATAAGCCAATCATGTAGAAACAGGATCAGTAGGTACAATTGTGATTGGTCAAAACAGTATCACATGATGCATACTCAGCTCAGAAAGTGTGTTACTGTTAGTAACAAAATGTCAACATGATATTGACTACATTTATTACTAAGTATATACTAAATTACATGTATCTCAGACACAGTTGAGAAAAATGAAAGATTAATACAACTTTCAAAAGCCATGATATAGCAATGGGATATAGACATGAAAACATCTAAAAGCAACCAGTACTTGTCCAACTGTTATATTTGTGTTTATCTATACTTACATAGTCTTCTTTTCTCACATCATAACCACACATGGTGTTTACAACAGCATCCTATGTAAACAAAAACATGATAAGATGAACTACATCAAAATTGTGACAATGAATCAGAAACATCACTCAATGCGACTGAGATCCGGTTTCAGAATGCCAGAAATGTTAGATTCTGATGATTTTTTAGCACAAAAATGGCCACCAGTCGGTCATTTTGATTCAGACCAATATATCTGTATATATATGAAACCAATATATCTGTATATATATATGACATGATGAATAATGAATATATAAAATTTTAATCTGATCTGGAAAACAAAATGATGTGTATCAAGATATGGGTACGGTTGCATAGACACAGGGATGTCAATCCAAATAAACTAAATGTAGGCAGGCACTGTCATGCCTAGCTGTGGTTCTGTCACTTACTAGTGCAAGAGGCAACTGATTTTAATTTTGACTTGTCTGACTTGTTCTTGGTAGTATTATTTTGTTAGTCGTATTCGTGGACGGCAATGAACGCCAAATGAAAATGACGACTGGAAATCAAGACCACAGCTATGTCTGGCTGTAAAAATAGCTGAACAAAAACACAAACTCAATTTATTTAACTATAGATGCCCAATTTGATAGTAAAACATGTGGTACCAAAACAGACCATGAAAAGACAAGACTCTCACAGACTGTGGACACTCAACATACAGACTCTATGGTTTGAGATCAAAAGAAAGATGCAATGTAAAACATTTTTTTTTTAAATGTTTTTGTGTCAGGCGACAGTTCTGGATATTGAGTGTCACTGTTGTCTCTCCTGCCTTTTTTTTGTAAGTGTTAGTGCTAGTGCTGACATATAGTGCAATATGTTCCAAATTTTAGGTCAATGAGACAAATGTACTATCAGTACAAAGCTATTTCTTGTTTTGAAGAAATATAAAGATGCCGACCAAACCAAAAGAAAAAATCAAACTATAATAATAGGGGCCTTCAGGCTTGGGCCTTTAAAAACATTCAATTATCTGGACTTACAGTTTCTGATTCAATACAGCATGAATAAGGCACTCCACACGCCTCTTTGGCTCCTCTTGATTCCAGAGAACAATTAAAATAGATGTTGTTCTCCCAGTCATGGTAATCTTTACCGCCACAACATTTTAACTGATGACAAGAAAAAATTCAACCAATCATAATAATTTATGCAAATCAACTATTATACAGTGCATGGATAATATTTAGCATTTTACAAAACTAGTGTTTGAGAAAAAAATACAGAATTTAGTGGAGAAATGATGATATTCTGGATGGTATGTTTTGAAAGAAAATTATTACAATTGAGCTGGTTGCCACTGACACATTTACCCAGTACCTTATGGTGCAACTGCATCGGAGCAGCTCTCTAAAATCTGTTTCTATGGACACATATTTATTGCGTGGGACTGAGTCATATTTAGTAGTAGTGCAACTTACTGATTGTTGTATGCCATCTATCACATCTTGTAAATCAGGATCTTCACGATAATTCACAATAATGTTTGTAATTCCATCTTCAATTTGTGATTTTACCTGTACAATATTAACAATATACCAATAGATCATATGACTGAACATCTAGCATTGAACAATATACCAATAGATCATATGACTGAACATCTAGCATTGAACAATATACCATAAGATCATATGACTGAACATCTAGCATTGAACAATATACCATAAGATCATATGACTGAACATCTAGCATTGAACAATATACCAATAGATCATATGACTGAACATCTAGCATTGAACAATATACCATAAGATCATATGACTGAACATCTAGCATTAAACAATATACCAATAAGATCATATGACTGAACATCTAGCATTGAACAATATACCATAAGATCATATGACTGAACATCTAGCATTGAACAATTTTCCGCTCCGTAAATAACCATATCAGCAGTCGATCCAAAACATTAGCACTCAAGCATTCCAATTTCCCCTTATCTGCGTTATCAACATTGACATATTCAAGGTTACTGATATCACATTTGAAAACTTTCTTTTGTTTAGGCAGAATTGATAAAGCACTGCCGAAATAGAACATCTCCACTGAACACAAATGTTTTTACAATGCAAAACATGCAGTGCCATTTCAGACTATAATAACTCATTAATTTATTACAACGAAGAAAGGAAAGATGCATATTAACATAGTTATCATGAGAATACCTCAAAGTATACACTCAGGCAGTATGGTGTCACATCAATCACTGTACTGCCTTTGTGCATACTTTGCGGTATTCTCTGAGGTATTCCATGATAACAACATGATTATACGTCACATCACATGATTGAATGTATCAATCTGAGTGACTACATGAACAGAAGATGATACATCCAAACTAGACAGTATAAAAGGATCATTACAATTTTAATATCAGCAAAACTAAGTCAAAATCAAATCTGAAAGTTGCGGTGTACGTGGTGTACATGGTACTTATCGAAAATTTACATATTGGGTAATTTATTAACATAATTATTTATTTTCCATAAAATTAAATCCCATAAAATTTTTTGAAAACAATTCAAGAGTATGCATCTCAGACTAATCCTAATAATAAAATTATTAACATTGAATATCATTTTTTTTTATTATAGTTCATCTTTGATCGCCAAATAAATGAATACTTACCCAATCTTTATACACAAAGCCCAAAATCCCAATGGCAAGCTCGGCAAAGAAAATAATTCCCAACACTACGCTATACTGCAATAAATAGGAGAATAAATCAAACCATATTTCATTCATTGACATAGCTGTAACTTGTACCTTTACAAATGCATCTACATGTCATGCTTCATAAGCATAAGATAATTTATTAGTATAGCTCTATAAATTAAATTTTAATTTCTGTGTTTTTGACAATCCAAGTTGGCCATGTGATAAAATTGTTATCACCTGATATCACTTCTTGTGGAGCTTGTTGATAGATTAATGGTCTGTGGTATATTTAGTTCATGGATAATACGAGGCATGATGCCACTGGCATCATCCAGCACTGTGAATAAGTCACAACAGATGATAATTACATAATATGGTATATACTTACAACTCTAAGAAGCAAAACATTTTCTCTGAGAGCTCCAATGCAACCACAGAATCCAAGTACAAAAATAATTCCACCGACGACAATGAATATAAACGCTGGGTCCAACACAAAATTAGTTATAGATGTGATGTTTGAAAAAGTGCCCTGGAGAAAAAAATTAACAAGCATAATAATAAACATTATAAACATGTTTTGATTCAGTATTTTTAACAAAATCACCATTGTAAAATATTGAAATTAGTAATTATAATTCTGGGCTAGGAAATATTGAGACTCCCTAGAAAAGTTATAAATCAACTATCAATTAAATACAAGTAATAATTCCTTTTAATAACAAATTTGTGAAATCTCTGGTGTTGACACAACATTTCAATGACTGGTCTTGCCCTGTGTGTTATCATGGTGATGTTTATAATGAGTAGTGTGATTGTAAGATGCCAACAAATCAGAAGGTAGCTTTTGATCTGACTAGTTCTATTCACTATCACATAGAACAAGAGAATAACCAACATTCAATGTCAATAGAACATTGACATTCCATTATAATTTGTATTTGCACCAACTTTGAACAAAATTGCTCCACACATTGTCATTATACACTTACAATTTTTTGCCCAAAAGACACACTTAATGAATCAAGATTAAACATATGTGCACTTGCCATAATACCTTGTCTATGTAAGAAATTTTAATGAAATTGTTCTGTGCATGAGAGTGCATGAACAGACGGGAGGACGAAACCTAAATTATAATCTTTCAGACCTAGACAGTATGTTGACAAGAAGGTTTTTATCATTAATACAGCCAAGATTAGAATTAGATTTGGAAGGCATTTACACAAAAGTGTTCCTAATAACATAACAATCATTCACAAGCAGCCTCTCGGCTGAGATAGCTCCGCTGTTAGCAATGCACATTACAATTAAAGAACTGAAGATATCATTAGAAAATGAACAATATATATATATATATATATATATATATATATATATATATATATATATAAAGCAATGGGACAAATCTGAGAGAGGTCCACATGTAGTACCTATATATGTAATATAAAAGCAATTGGACTTGCGGTTTTTAACAAGAAGTCAAAAA